TCTTTTAGGTTTAGGGCTTAGTGAGTTCAGGGCTTCAGGTTTAGGGTTTAGTGAGTTTAGGGTTTAGGGTTTAGGGTTTAGTGAGTTTAGGGTTTTAGGTTTAGGGTTTAGGGTTTGGGTTTTAGGGCTTTAGGTCTAGGTTTGTTTTGACCGGAAACTCAGCATAGAGGTTTTTGGTGAGAAATCCGGGTTGGATTCTGCCAGGCTACTGCCACTGTCGCAATGTCGAAACCATCGAAGCATCGCCGGTAAGCCTCTTCTGAGCGCTGAGGGGCTTTCCAGCTCAGGATGCTCTAAGCCTAATTAATGTAGGGGCCGTTTAGGGTTTAGGGTTTAGGGTTTGGGGTTTGGGGCCCAGTATACCATAGCTATACTAAGGAACCCCCCCCAAAAAAAAATAGCATAGGTAATTCTTCAGGCTCATTATATTAAATGGTCTCTATGGTGCTCAAGGCTTCGGGTAAAGCCCAAAAGGCCTAAACACCAAAAGCCGCGATGCGCCCCCAACACCCAAAAACACAAACCTCCAGACCTGTGAGCTTGTGAGGTTTGGCTTAGGGTTTAGGGTTTAGGGTTTAGGGTTTAGGGTTTAGGGTTTAGGGTTTAGGTTTTAGGGTATCTGAATTCAGATCACGCCTAATTCGGAACTGCGCTTGCCAGCACCCCAGAAGTCCCGCAAACTACTACATCTCGGGGCTTCGGGTTTAGGGTACGCTACTATCTCTAAACTTTCGGGGTTTCGGATTAAAGGGCTTAGGGTTCAGGGGTTTAGGGCAAAGGCTTACTAAACGGTTGGCTCACACCCCGAAACCTTAAACGGGTCAAGTCCTACGCAAGAAAGCTTGTTCTTTAAGGTCTTACAGTGTAGTGCATTCCCTAAACCCTAAACCCTAAACCTTAAACCCTAAACCCTAAACCCTAAACCCTAAACCCACAGGAGCATCAGTTTGGTTCAGCTACATCATTATGAGGGTTTTGGCCTCTGCCTCTAGTGCATAAACCCTAAATAAACCCTAAACCCCATGGCCTATAAGCCCTACAAGCCCTATAAATCCTATGACCTATGAACCCTATAAACCCTATAAACCCTATGAGCCCTATAAACCCTATAAAACCCTATAAACCCATAAAAAAACCCTATAAAACCCTATGAACCCTATAAACCCCATAAACCCTAAATCTTCCTTTTGACGGCAGGGGCTGCGCCACGCTTCACTGGGGGAAGGAGGCCCTTCCTGAGCCTGGGCCCTGATACTCTGGAACCGAGAGTTTAGGGCTGTAGGAGTTTAGGGCTGTAGGGGTTTAGGGCTTTAGGGGTTTAGGGCTGTAGGGGTTTCGGGCTTTAGGGGTTTAGGGGCTTAGGGGTTTCGGGGTTTAGGGGTTTAGGGTTTAGGGGTTTAGGGGCTTAGGGTTTAGGGTTTAGGGGTTTAGGGGCTTAAGGGTTTAGGGGTTTAAGGGTTTAGGAGTTTAGGGTTTAGGGTTTAGGGCTTATGGGTTTAGGGATTTAGGTTTTAGGGCTTTAGGGGTTTAGGGTTTAGCCTCAGGCAGCCAAACACATCCCGCATGATGAAACAGGTTTGGCCTCGCGCTTTCGGAGGATCGTGTCCCAGCTTAGTCCGGCTTGAGCGCCCTGCGAATGTGTCATGCATGGCCGGCTTCCCTTGCCCGCGATGTTTGGTTTAGATCTACTCGGAGAATTTTTGTCTAATGAGCAATGAAGGCCCCTACAGTAGTAAACAACTCTGATCTCAAACAACACTCACATCTCGAGATATCTGTCTGGATGTGGGCCCCTGCATTTGGCGCTTTGGATCTCAAGGCGCTTTATGGCGTGATAGGGCGTAGGTGCTTTCGGTTTGGAGCGTAGGGTCACGATCCACTTTCGCTTGATGATCTTGCAATGTTCGAGGCGCCGATAAGACGCATCCACTCTTCTGCAAACAGACGTCCCACACCTGGAAGCCTCGTAGATCCTGGGTTTTTTGGAGTCCTGAGAGATTGTTCCTGGCGCCAATGCCTCCTGGTTGGATGTTATGAGTCCTCCTTCAGTGAGGGGTGTAAGGCTCCCTGAAATAGGCCTACTTGAAGGTTCATGGGTAGTTATAAGTGAGGTTATTAGTAGAGTAACTGTAATTATAACTACCCATATTAGGGGGACTTATGACTCCACTTAAAACTACCCATGAACCTCCAAGCACACCCCCTCAAGCGACACTCAATGAGTTTACGACGTTTCGGATTTAGGGTCGACTCCCATCGAAGGCCTCCAAGGTCAGCAGCTCAAAAAGCTTGTTGTCGCCTCTGCTGCTTTCTGAAACCCTACACCTTAAACCCTAAACTCTTGACCCTTGAAGCCTAAACCCTATACACCCTAAACCTTCAGACGCCCCAAAACACGAAACTCACCAGTACGAATCTGGGGAGGAACAATGTTGGTGTTTAGCTGCAGCTTAGCCCTAAACTCTAAACCCTAAACTCCTAAACCCCTCAACCCTAAACCCCCAAACCCCTACGTACACCCTAAACCCTAAATCCTAGCCTGCAGGGTTGTGCAAGGTCTTGCGGGCTCCAGGGGCTAGCGGCTAGACTCGAGTGAACAGGGCTAGGGTGAAGGAGCTGGGCATAAGTATGATATTGTGTTCATGATTATGATTACTCCATTTATTTTATTATTCGTGTTCCTATTAATTTCATTTTTCGTGTGACTGCTATCATTTTGTTGTTAGTTTTGGGTTCAGCTGAAGATGTCACAGGCACTGTTCCCAGGCCTGTCGGTTTCTCAGTTTTCTGGCCTACGTCTCCACCGCCCTCCGGTCCCCAATCATCGAACTACCTAGGACTCCTCGAAGAGTACCGAGTACCCATCAAGCCCCAAAACCGAAACCCCATGCAAACCTGCTTGGAGGTTCTCGCATACGGAAATGTGCCTGATGAGCTCGGATGGCTTTAGATAGCAGCTGCATACGTTCAGTTCTTTGTCACAAGCGAATGTCCACACAGCCACCTATGTGACCCCAATTAACATACTTCTCGAGCTGCCAAACCCTAAGCTAAACCCCAAACCCGACATCCGAGCGACGAATTCTCCGAAGCCTAGCAGCCCCTTAGCTACCTGCAAAGGGGCCCATTACAGCAGCATAGTTGATGACCTCTTAATTGTAGAACGGGATTGTCAAGGCATCCAGCTGTAGTTTGGGGATCACTGAAAACCAGCCAAATCCTGGGACGTACTCGTGCAGGCTGTGCGCTACATTACATACCTAATACATCTGAGCCCTGTAGATCTCTCTCACGGCGGATTGATTTTATACAGGCCTTAATCGTGAGAATTGAAGGTCACTATAGAAGAGTCTTACTATAGGGGCCTGAATATGTAGAATGAGGTTTTGGGGTTTAATATAATATTATACTATAACCATAATAAGCAACCCGCACAAAGCATTGGTAATTACTTAGGCCCCTTTGTTACCCTATATTATACCAACGGGGGCATCATCACATGTGCTCCCGGCTTCCCAAGCCCTGACCCTCTTCCGTAAAACGATGACGCCTACCGAAATCAGACCAAATGCAACAGAGAAAACCATATAATACAGGAGCCTTAATAATCAGAATAGGGCTTGAGTGTATATTCTACTTTCATCATAATAAGGAACCACAAGAATAGTTTTGGTGAATATTTAGGTCCCTATTGTAATGGTTCAAAATATTGTTACACACCAACCCCTCGATCTATACCGTCAAAAGCTTATTCCAAGGCCCCACAAACAAACACATGAATCCTTCAAACTGAAGCCCCGCATCCTAAAGCGCTTACCCGAAGATCCTAAAACAACCAAACCCTTAACCCCGCAACCCCCTACCCCTAAACCCTAAATCCTAAACCCCTAAACCCCTAAACCCCGAAACCCTATAAACCCTATAAACCCTATAAACCCCAAACCCTAAACCCCTAAACCCCTAAATCCTAAATCCTAAACCCTAAACCCTCCAAAAACAAGGAACTAACTTCATCCCCCGACTCCAAAGCTGGGCTCCTGAGCGCACTCCTAAAACCTCCATCCCTGAACCCGAGGCAGTGGGGCTTAGGGGTTTAAGGGGCTTAGGGCTTAGGGGTTTAGGGTCTACAGTAGGGCTCCCTACCCTAAACCCTAAACCCTAAACCCCTAAACCCTAAACCCTAAACCCCTAAACCCTAAACCCCTAAACCCTAAGCCCTTAAACCCCTAAACCGTAAAAACCCTAAACCCTAAACCCTAAACCCTAAAACCCTAAAACCTTCCAACCAAAAACAACGGAGAGGTCCGAGCAGCGGCTTCGGCCTGGGCCGTAGATGGGCACACCCCACTCCTTCGCTGTGGTGTTGTGGGGTTTGGGTTTACGGTTTAGGGTTTAGGGTTTAGGGCTTAGGGTTTAGGGCTTGGGTTTAGGGTTTAGGGATTAGGGTTTATAGGGTTTAGGGTTTAGGTGGTTTTAGGGTTTACCAACGGGAATAAGAAGGGTTCCTCTACAACCCGTGTAAGGATGACGACAAGGGTTCCTATGAAGCCCTGGTAAGGGTTTAGGGTTTAGGGTTTAGGGTTTAGGGTTTAGGGTTTAGGGTTTAGGGTTTAGGGTTTAGGGTTTACTACAAAGCTCACCATAGGGGCTATTCGAAGGGTCGCTAGAAGGGTTCCATCAAAGGGTGGATGGGGTCAATGGTTTCTGGTGTTGAGCTTTGGGCTTTGGGGCTTAGGTGTTGCATAAGTTCTGGGGTTGTGGGTTGCTTAGAGTTTAGGCCCTAAACCCTAAACTCAAGGGTTCTGTCGTTTTCAAGGGTTTTGCCGGTGAAGAACCTGGGAAGCTGATCCAAAGCCAAAACCGAGGCACTACTTCGAGGGCCGCTGCTTAGAGAACCTGTCCCATCCCATCCTATCCTATCCTATACCATACTACATTCTACTATGCTATACTATACTATACT